TGATTTCCCTTTCACATTTCTAATCTCTTTGTGTGGGTAAGGGTAACTATTGGTAATAATAATCACTCCTCTCTCTTTTACCCTCTTTTTTGGGGTGGGTTTTATTAGCACTTCTTTTTGCACATACAACTTTTCATACCCACTTGTTTATTTTTGGGAATTTTTATTATACCTTACTTGTGATGTTGTATTTGCCCTTTCTTGAGCTCAACCCCTCAATTTTTTCACCCCACACCCACCAAAAATATATAGGGGTTAGGCCAAAATGCATGTTTCAATGTTGTTGTTGTTGAAAAAAGGACTCTTTTTTTGCCTTCTTGTTTGGTGGGTATTTGTAAAATTTAATGGGGTATTTGAGGAGGGTGGAAATTATCTCGATTTTGGTGTATACAAATCGAAATAGGACCGATTTGTTTGTTTTTTTTTTTATAATTATGGGTTTTCATAAGTTAGCCCACTAATGCAAATCGACTAATTAATCTAATGAAATAATCATCTTCACATTTACGTCAACTAATCTAACGATCACGGCACAACTATCTGACCTTGTAATACATTTGGGACCATCTTCTAACTCTTGGAATTGGAAATGAATCCTATTGATGATGGTATTTTGTTTTACATTATTATAAACCATAATTATAAGGAAAGCGAGGATCATCAATGAAAGCATTTTGAAAGAAGAAGAAGAATTTGAGTTTTTTTTTGGGGGGGTATAATTGGAAGAAAGAAATTGAGGGGTAGGGGCCAGCCAGCCTCAAGCCCTCTCATGGGTTATGAGTAGCTTAGCGTGAAACATCATGGGGTTTCACAGGGATGCTATAGAGGGGCATTTTCGTCATTTCTGCCCCCTCGTGGAGCTCGTTCATCCCTCTAAATATTTGCATCAAGGCAATCATGGATGCTCAAAACAATGGGGTTGGTCTTCATGAAGTTACCTAATTGCCCCTCTTTTGAGTTACCCTGTTTGGCTTTTGAAGTGTTCTATTCCCTCCTCCCTTTTACTCATTTTAATGATGGATGGTTATTGAGTAGTAAGGTGGAAAGTACAAAAGGTTGTTGATTCAATTCTAGAGGATAGTTTGCATGGTTGTATAGTATCGATTCGGTTTTGTTCGATTTTTTTTCCTTTTCTAAAGTAGTTTTCTTTTCTTTAAGATTCTACATCGAAAACCTTGATGTAAGTAGGGGTGAACAAAAAATTTTGAAAGAACTGATCTGATCGATTGAACCAACGTTGGTTGGCTGGTCTGATGATGGTTCGATCAAAGTCGATTTTGTAAAATTCAGAACTCGCTCGTCRGTTGGCTAGTTTGGTTGAAAATGTAATTTTCGACCAATCAGATTGGCCTTGATGAATTTATTTTTTATAATTGCGTGTCTAGAGGAACCACAACCAATCCATTCTGAATTTCGTGGTTAAACTCTACTACAGTAACGACTCTGTAGGGGAGGTCCTACAGAAAGATAGCTCAATGTCAGGATGATAAAAGGTTTAACACCTCTGATTCTCGTTCAATATTCAATATGAAAAAAATGAAAAATGAAAAAGTAGTTTTGTTCAAAGTGCTTGTTTAGTGGGCTTTTGTCATTCTCATTTTAATATGTTGAGTTGCAAGATGTTGTAATAAATATTGATATAGTTGTAAGACCCTCCTTCTCCTCCTGAAGCTTGGGAATCCGTGTTGAGTACATGGAAGAGTCAAATTGAGAAATTGAGAGTACCACGAGAGGTCAGAAGTAGCGAATCAAAARGAGCAAGTTTGTTGCGTAGGTTTAGGCTTCGTAAATGGGGCTCATGGCTTTTGAAGTTAAAATCATCCTTAAAGTACACACCCACACCCCTTGCAGCATCTACGCCTCGAGCCTCAATATCATTTTTAGTTTTTATTTTCAAGAAAATTTTTCCTCTCGCTCTCATCTTTCACGTTTCTCCCCATTTTCTTTCCTTCCCTCTTTCTATCTTTTATGTCATTCTCTTTAATCCTCTATGTCTTTTTCTTATTTCTCGCTTCATCTCTCTTCCCGATACCTTCTCCCACCTCCCCTTTTCATCTCCTTTTCTTCCTTCTCTGATTCTCTATTCTCCCTTCGCTGCTACAAAATTGGTCTTCTATGACACTTATTGAATAGTAAAATAGATTGAAAAAAATGTCACAAATTGTGGGGGTGAAATTCTGACAGAAAAAACGTTACTTTAAATATCTTCTCTTCTACGATTCCTTCGTCTCATCTCTTCCTCTTCATTATAGTCGGTCGTTAGAACCTCGAGTATAAAATTAAAGATATCAAAGAAGAATATTGTTCGTAATTTTGGACAAATGATTGATAAGTCAAAAAGATAAACTTTGCAATTGTATAAATGAGTATAAATGGATTGTTATCATGGAATTCAATTAATTTAAAAGGTGATCTTTTTTTTATCAAAATATTTGTTCAAAATTGTAATTTGCACAATTAAAATCCTCGAGTCATTTAAGTTAATTAAAAGGTATGAGAGAAATTGTTGTATAATATATCTTTATTTTTACCCCTCAAATTGAAAAATAGTCAAAACTTTGAGATATCTCAAATATAGCCAACCCAATAATCTTTAAGACCTACATTCTTTATGCATTTTACTAATTTTTCCCCTCATATTTTTTACACTAAAATAGATTCTTATTTAAATTACTCCCATTTGTTCACCCTTCCATTAATATTTGTACATTCTCATTAAATCATATACCTTGAGAGTATGCTACCACTAAGGATCAAAATGATTTAATTTCTTAGAATGGTGGGGCAACATCTTCTCGCCATAAATGACGAAGATCAAAGAAGGATGTCATATTGATTTCGACTATAACTATACTAGTGCATGTAGGGACAAATCTATGTTGACCTCAGACCGTCTCGACTTTAAAATATAATTAATTATCGAGTATATGTAGGGACCCGAATCTATGTTGGGGTGGGGATTCAACCCCTCAACCCTAAAAAATGTTAGTTTTTTTAGTAAATTATTTTTAAAACAATTAATTACCTAACAAATCTGTTTCTTCCAACTTAATTTGTTAAGTATAAGTGGTATCTAATAGAATATTTAAATTTAAAAATGTATAACTTTCAATTTTATCTAATTAATTTCTAACTTATTAGATTATTTTTAAAAATAATAATTTATTGAACACAAATGTAAAAATTTAGGGGCTTTTTAGATTTAAAAAAATAAATTGAAAGTTTAGGGATATATTAAAACGTTGTGACTTATAAAATTTGTAATTTAACTTATTTAACGTCAAAATATATGAATTTCAATACATATCAATATTCTTAAAATGTTACGTTTATAAGTCTCCAACATCAAGTTCTAGATCCACCACTAAATGTTATATTATGATCGATTATATTGTAAAATATATTATTTATTATATTAATAGATATTTTTCCTTCTCTCCTCTAGAGTAAATAGTAAATTATGTATGTATCATATAGTTAAT